TTTTTTTTTTTTTTTTCTCCCATCCACGCAGATGCCACAACGCACATACACCCCGTGTTTCTCACGTGAGTTGACATCAACACGTGACTTTCGAACGCGCTTAAGTCATCACACTTCTCTTATTCCCCTGATCTCTGCGAATTTTATACAGCGCAAAGGAATAAATAAAATATTTCGAAAAGAGATGCATGCCTCAAATTGTCTCGTTCGATTGAAATCACCATGGGGATATCTGAGTGCACATTGATTATTAAACATCGAAGAATTTTTTTCCTTCTTTCTTAAAATTTGTTATCCGCAAGGACGACCCAGTCAATTATACCCACATCTACACGTTGGCTTCGCTTGACGCGTAAATCACAACGATTATTATTCTATTTTTACTTCACTTTTTTCTCTTTTCGTAAAGGAAAAAAAAAAAAAAAAAAAAAAAAAAAAAAGGTGCTCGAGACGAATTTCCAATTCCTTGATGGCCTTTGAAGTTCGACTCACCATTTTTCTTTTTCTTTTAGAATTCCATCGTCTATTGTTTATTTATTTATTATCCATTTTATTTATTTTTTCTTTCTTCAGTTCCGTCGAGCGGGTACCATTACAAACATATTATTATCCTCGACCATACAATTATTTTCTTCAGTTCCGCTGAGCAGAACCATACAAACACATACAGTATATTAAAGCTAGAACCGCGTCACCCCTAGGTCGCTCCTAACTATTGTTTAAGAAAAAACAAAAAAAAAAAACAAAAAAACAAAAAAAAAATGCGAGGAGGGCGTCTTCGGATGAACTCATTGCGATAATTACACACACGTGACCCCAAAGAAACTCCATTGAAAACGTTAAGTTCATAAGCATCCCCCCTAAAACCACACAATAATACGGAAGCGATCAGGCTTTTCTTTTTTGTACTACTAGATTTTTTTTGATAAATAAATGTATGTGCGTATGACAAGAAAAAGAGACACGTATCACATGACGTCAGCTGGATGGTTGAGTAATTCCGATTATACAGATTGTACAGGACAAAGTTTACTTGAATAACGGTCAATTACGGCTCTATAAAGATTCCTTTTTTTTTTTTTTTTTTTCAGTGTTTCATCTGTAGGTGTCCTGCATAAACCTGAAGGATGAATACCCATCGTTTTGTGCAATTTCCTTAAAAAAAAAAAAAAAAAAAATTCGTGCACACATGAGGACGTAGGGTTTAGAAAGAAATTTCTTTTTTTTTTTTTAAAAAAAAAAAAAAAAGAAGGAATTTTTTGTGTATCATGTACACATTATCTTTGTTATAATCTGGGAGCGTTTAAACCGGGGACCCCGGGAAATTAGTACGTACATACGTTCGCAGGGGAAGATGCCATTGGCGTTGGCCAATTAGTAACGGGTAAGACTCGAATAAATAATTTCCGCTCTCTCAATGAAATAATCAAACTTGTTTGTTTTTTAGAACCCTGTTGCGATCCCATGAATTCAGTGTACCTGCTTACTTTACCTACAAGCGTCAATTATGTTTCATGCTCTTTGCATTCAAGAGAACCAATGGTAGCTGATATTCCTCTCTTGTACTTTTCAGATGTCTCTACTGAAGGCGACCATGATTTTTTCGGTATCCGCACAATGTCAATGTACTGTTTTGTGGATTGCAGATGACGGTTGTTGTTTATAACGTATACATACGCAACATTGCATGTATGTGCCGCTACACGACATTCAGATTCTTAATTCCAAATTCTATAATCAGCCTTTTCTGTTGACTTACTGATGACCCAACCTCGGATAATTGCTGACTGGCCGAAAAAAACCAGGGATTAGACAGTGGAATGAGGGTGGACACATTTGGTAACCAACAAAAGCACGTATAGATGAAAACGTGAAGAACGCATTACATCTGCGTCTGCATCTGCATCAGTGATGTTTATTAAAAAACCGGTATTGCCACCATTAGGGAATCATCACCGCCAATCTTGAAAACGTAAACAACGTACCCACCACCCAAAACAATTAAATAAGTGACAGGGCAGGCGACACGTGCGTCGTATGGTTGAATTTGGAAGTGCATTATTGGTGTTGGGAGAATGACTGGATGTACAAATGGAAAGGAAAAAAAAAAAAAAAAAAAAACAAAAACAAAACAAAACAAAGCATACACACAAGCACCCCGCCTACGCCATCTCTCATACACGCACGGCACATTGATTCAACTTCTTCACTAACAATGGTTTCAATTATTTACGGTCTTACCGAATTTCGTCTCGCATTAATGACTCTCGAGCATTTAATTTGCAAAACATTCTCAGTTAGGGAAATCTTTCCACGTAGCTGGCATACACCAACCAACTTTAAGGCAGATGATCAGGCCGGTGAAGGTTCGTTTATTTTTAAGGTTAATTAATTATCGTGGACTTGATTAATGCACACCGTGGCATTGGGTGAATTCGCGTTCACGTTTAGGCTTCCCACGAACCATCATCCATACGCGATCACGACGGATGTCGCAGTACTCACGAAATCCCGTTTCGTAAAGATTATTACTGATCCATCTCATCTCAGAAATACGGAAATTTA